ATCAGATCTATTGTTCATAGAGTTACTGTGAGTTTTAGATGACTCAACGGCACAGAGGTTTTATAGTTTTAGATCTTTGATTAATTTTGAATTTAATTTTCTATATTGCGTGAGGTAAAGATTCATTTTCATTCTTTTGTATGTGAACATTCAGTTGATCAAGCACAATTTATTTAAGAAATTGTTTCCCTTCATTGGCAGCCTGGTTTTAAAAAAAACCCAACTTTACATAAAGATGTTGTTGTTGTTGTTGTTGTTATGTGCCATCGAGTCACTTGGGACTCATAGCGACCCTATGTACAAGAGCCCTAAACGCCGTTCTATCCTGTGCCAACTTAGCCATCTCAAACGCTCTAATTCCACCACTCCAGTCACAAAGTAGATCCAGCTCATTGAAGGTCTTCCTCTCCTGCGCCGTCCCTTCACTCTGCCAAACATGATGTCCCTCTCCAAAGACCAGTCCCTCCTTGCAACATGCCCAAAGTATATCAGACAAAGCCTCAGAATCCTTGACTCCAGGGAGCATTCTGGCTTCACCCTCTCCAGGACAAACTTGTTTGTTCTCCTAACAGTCCATGGTATATTCAACATCTTCTCCCGCACCACAGTTCCAAGGCATCAATTCTCTTTCTGCCATAAAGATACAGACTTATTTTTTTGCCTTTCAATTTAACTGTGCCCATTGATCTCTAGAAGACAACAAATAGGGTTTATTGATGGTCTGTCCTCCATAGGTGGTAGTAATGGCCTTTTACTCTGCACAAAGTGCTTTTGCACAGTTACTTTCTTCGATTCTCACCACTACTACTACTTTGTAAGGTTAGATGAGGAATTAGACAAACAGATGTCCAGGGTTAAGTAGCACAGCATTGCAGCTGCCTCTTGCTAACATTGGAATATCCCTTTCTGATGCTACAAATGCTTTAACAGGCATTGTCTCCTTGGTTTAGTTGCCTTAGTTTAAAAATATTCAAAGCCCATTAGTTACGACTGTTGAGTGCTGCATTAGCAGCAAAGGAAGAAGATCAAAGAAGAACCGAGTATCATCAATGGCCAAGCCTGTGAACTCAGTCAAGAACCAGTGGGCAAAATGCAGGTTGAAATCAGGGAACCAGATACGAGGTACAAAAAGCACCAGCGTGGATATAGGCTGACGTAACCAGAGAGGAAACATGACTTTGATCATTTTCCTGAAAAAGAAAACATGGGTACAAAGTGCTAGAACATCAACCAGTGAGCCGTCACAAAGTCCTTGGCTTGGTTCCAAGTGTGGCTGGTGAATTGTGGCATGGCTTCTCCCTAGCTAGAGTGCCCTACGGTCTGAAGGGAAGGCCAGGGATGCTGAGATGGAAGCCATTCCTAGGGAGTAAGGAGAGAAGCCAAGGACTGTGCATAGGCAGCCTTGAAAAGAATCCGCAAGGAGCCACCATTTCCAGAGCTGTGCAGTTCAAAAAAGAAAAGGGATGTTCTTCCTTCCCTGAGGTGGAAAGGATTTTTTTTTTTTTTTTGGAAAGGATCTTAATATAAAAACATTTGAGGAAGTCTTTAGTGGTCAAAGATAATCCAAATTTGTGAGGACGTGGAAAAGTGATTATGTCTTGTCATATTCTCCTTCTTGGTGACTCTGGGTTGGAGTAAAGTGAGAAGGAGTAAGAGTGGCATTCTGTCCAAAGATCGCCATCATTGTCTCAGAATAGACTCCATTCGGTCCAGGCAACATTGCTTTCAGTTTCCTGTGCTCCCTAGTAGTCTTTTGTCTTCCAGGAGCTCAGAATGCTGTTGATCAATACTGCGGTCTCACATTTTAAGCCTCAAAATTGTAATAGGAACATACACACGCGCACACACACGCACGCGCGCACACACATGCGCACATGCACATACACACTCTTACTCCTACATGTACATACAAACACACCTACCCCTACGTGTACACACAGAGACAGAGCCCCAAATGTAGTGAATGATCAGAATTATTGGTGTAAGACCATCCTTTTGTCCATCTCTTTTGTCCCTTCCCTGCCCCACTCTTCATGTCCTCTCCTTTCACTTCTTTTTCTCATTGCTCTTTTCTTTTCCCCTACAACCCATCTGTGGATTCTCTTCTCTTTCCTGGCCTTTCAGTCTTTACCCAATCTCCCTTTCATCCTCCTTTTATGTTTATTTCTCTATAAAAGTCAACATCGTTACAAAGACCCCTAGACCCCTGGCTTCATTACATAGGCAAAACCTTTTGTAAATTTCATTTACATTGCATGAATGCTTGTCAGGGTTAGGCTTGGTTTATTTGCATAGAAGAGCTGGTTTCATTCCACAAAAGCTGGAGGGTGTGCTTTAAATTGACAGGAGGCAAAAAAAACCCCGTGAGTTTGGGACGTTCCCAGGGGTGGGGTGGGGGGGAGTCTTCTGCCAATTCTAGTGGCAAAGTAAGGGCATTTCTGAGAGCTCTTCCTCTGTGAACTGAAGCAGCCCTTGGAATGGTCAAGATCTCAGCCCTTTCTCACACAGTACAGAGCCTGACAGTTCTCTGGCTGGCTGTGAGCTGCATTGCAATGCCTGAAGTTTGCTGATCTTCAAACCTCCTAGAGATGTAAACAGTAACCCACTCCAAGGAAGAGAGCAGCAGAAATGTGTTCAGACTTGCCGTAAGGGTGTTTTCCTAGTCAACCCACTAATTTGGTTGCCTGTGCCCTTGCCAAAACTTGCCCACATACTCTCTTCCTTTTAAAAGAAGCTTCTGCTCTTTGTTAATGGGGAGTAGATATGTAGCAAAGAGAAGACGCATTGATTTTGTTCTTCATTATTCACACAAGTGAAGGGAGAGTCAGTAACATGGAAGACAGGAAAGGTCTTGACCCCTGTTGTGCTTATAAGGTAGAGAACAGAGTAACTAATAAGTGGTGGTTTCCTTTTAGCGTGATTTGACCTGTTGGGACCACTCTGCCTGTCCTGGACAAGATTAGCGTTAACCCTTGAAGGGCTGCACTGTACCTTCCACCATGTTCTAAAAATGGTATCGAATAATTTTGCATTGTGTTGTTAAAATAAAATAAAAAAGGAAACTGACAAAGAGGCAAGCTCGCAAACAGAGCAAATAAACTCTGCCTGATCTTTCTTGATTTCAGTGCACTGTAGGGGTTTTGCCTCTAGCCTGCAGGGCTCATGGGAAATGAATATCATCCTTCATGTCTGCTTGAAAGCTCCTTAGCAAGGGTGGGATCTGAAAGAATCCTCACAACTTTTCCAAAACCCAGCACACTTTCTGTCACAGCAAGAGCAGTAAGTAGCCTATTTAGCCTTGTCTGCACAGCGGCAATTGTGAGGGGGATTCAGGATCGGGGTGGGCGGCTTTCTGTTGTACACAGGCTTACTATGAGCAAGAGCCAACGTGCCTGCACCTAACAGCATACATTTCTTTTATGGGTCTTTTTCCCCCCTCCTTAAAAATCAATAAACCAATCTCTTCTGTAAGTTTGATGTTTTAACAATAAAAAGTAGGATGAAATGACACAAGTGATACAAATACAGACAGTTATGTCAGTAATACAACATATTAATGACACAAATGATACATATTAAGAGCTCTGGAGTACATAGAGAATGGAAAGTCAGTTTGCCCCCTAATACTGCTCCTGACCTCTCCCTTATCACAACTTTCCAGATTGATTTATTTGAATTTACAAGCATACAAACGTATATAATTGTTTGGGTCCTTTTTAAACTACATGAAGCAGACAGTGGCATCAGGATTGGAGAAAAACCTGTGTTATGCATATGACACACCTCGCTTGCTGAAACTGAGGAGGACCTGAAGCATTTGCTGCAGAAGGTCAAGGACTACAGTCTTCAATATGGATTGAAGCTCAACATTAACAAAACAAAGTCTCATCACAGGGCCAATTGGCCGTATCACGATACATGGAGAACAGCTTAAGGCTGTTAAGAATTTCAGCTTGCTCAGATCTATAATCAACGGTCTTGGCACCAGCAGTCAGGAAATCAAAAGATGAGTTGCTTTAGGAAAGTCTGCTGTCAGGGACCTCTCCAGAGTGCTAAAGAGCAATGGTGTCAATCTAGAGAATAAGGTGTGTCTGATTCAAGCCATGATCTTCTTAAGTGCTTGCTATGCTTCTGAGAGCTGAACAACAACTAATGACATCAAAGGAATTGATGCCTTTGAGTTGTGGTGTTGGAGAAGAGTATTGAACATACCACAGACTGCCAAGAGAACAAACAGGTCTGTCCTGGAGAGGGTGAAACCAGGTTGCTCCTTGGAGGCAAAGGCAAAGATTTTGAAACTCTGTCTGCATGTTGCCAGGAGTGACCAGTCATTGGAGAACGACACCATGTTTGGAATGCTAGAGGGTCAGCACAGGATAGGAAAATGCTGGATGAGATGAATTGACATAGTTACTGTGGCAATGGGGGCAAGGGTGTCTGAGACAGTGAGGTTGGCTCAGAATAGAGGAGAGTTCATGGCTCTTTTTCATTAAGGTTATTATGAGTCACAGTCGGCTTGACAGCATATAACAACATACAACAATATATCTTTGCAGCTTTTTAAAAAAAATATACCCTAGACAATTATAGGTTTACTTTGTTTATAAACAAAAATATTCTTTTTAAAAAATATATTTTATTTTATTATTTTTGTTTGTGTGTACCATCAAATTGGATCTGACAGGTACAGGAGGAGCTTGCCCCTCCTTCTCCAGCACAGCATCTGGTGGATTTGAACTGCATACCTCTGGGATTGCAGTGCAGCTTCTTGCCACTAGGCCACCAGAGCTCCAAACAAAAAATATTCTTAATCCACTGCTGTGGAGATGATGCCAACCTACTCATCTTCCCCACACACACATATCAACTAGTAGATCCAAACCAACAACCTTCCAGTATGCCATCAGTTGCATATATTCCATAGTATTGTTGAACCATAAATTATTTAACAATTCTAATGATGCATTTTTATATGGTTCCTGTCTTCTGTTTTTTCACAGAACCCAACTCTCCCAGCACTGAACTGTTCTGTTGAAAATTCCCATCCAACGGTTTCTTACTACGCTCGTCCCCAAGTGGCATCCTACAATACCTACTACCATAGCCCTCCTCATCTGCCGCCATATTCAGCTTATGACTTTCAGGTAAGTTTTAAGAACAAACTATCTCTCCATCAGCCTTCTTCTCTTTCACTCATGCCCTCTTGTTCTGCCCCCGAATTCAGCTCTGGAACCATTCTCTTCATCATATGTATGAGGGAGCCACGCTCTCTTTATCTTTGGTGGCCTTTAGCAGCCTTTAGGCACCTGTGACTAGCTTAAAATGGCATAGGCAGGGGATGGTGGGGAAGGAGGGAAAGGCATGAAAGGAGAAGAAACCGAGAAATAGGTAAGAAAAGGAGGTTGGATGGAAGTGTCTCATAGTACCTCAGTCTATACCACGGAAGAAGGATGGGCAATATCCTCCTGTGTGATTAACTGCCTCTGAAAACCTGCTGGAGAGTCAGCTATGGGTCAGTTCTGACTCCACAGTACACACCACACCAGCAGCACCAAGGAGAAGATGACTTGTCTCGGAAATGGAAACTCATTAGTAGCCCATCATGGATTGCTGATCAGTAATGGCATTTGCTATTTTTCTGCGACAGGGAGAGGTCTAATCCTGTTCCTTGGCCAAAGAGCGTTCTGAATTATACAAAGGTTTCAATCAAGCCTGTCACGACGTGGCAGTGCATTTATTTAATTTCTTCTACACTTCCTAACAAGCTAAGTTTTTGTTCATTGCCGTAGAGTTAGAGTCAACTCGTAGCTGGCCCTCCAGTGGGTTTTCAGAGGCTGTAAATCTCATGGGATATTGCCCATCTTTCTTCCAAGGAACAGCTGGTGGATTAGAATCATATGCCGTTGGATTGGCAGCATAGCTCCTTACCACTAGTTCACCAGAGCATCCTATTTGAAGGGGAAAAATATACATAAAAATAATGTCCCCTTTTATCCTATTGTAGCATATATCAGAATTTGTTGTTATATGCCTTTGACTTGCCTGCGACTCACAGTGACCCTATGTACAGCAGCTCTGAAGCCTGCCTTGTCCTGAGCCAGTCCCACTGACTCCAACGCACCTACCCCATTGTCCTAGTTACTCAATCCATCTCATCCGGGCTCTTCCTCTCCTGCGCTGTCCCTCCACCCTTCCAAGCATGATGTCCTTCCCCAAGGGCCGGTAGCCTCCTGGCCACCTGATTTACACTTTCCTCTTTGCTTTTTGAACGGAAATGCAGTGCAGAAAAAGAGAACCCGAATGGCCCCTGATTGGGCAGGATTAACCCACTGTGTGCAGACCATTGGCAGTAAACTAGGAAGACAATGACAGTGATTGTACATCCTTGACTGCAAATGAGGAGGATCACACAAATACCTGTTAATGCAAGTTACAGGGACCAAAGAAAGCAGCTGCAAAAGAAAGGAAGCTCCTACTGAGTTTGCCTGTATTGATTTGGCGTCCAGGGAGGCTCCAAAAGGATGATAAAAGCATGATTATTTGGAAAGATTTCCAATTTACCAGCGAATTCCCTTGGGGAACCGGTTTTTCATTTTCATATTAACAAAATAACTGAAACTGGAAAACCTTATTTACTTGAGTAAAGTGCATTTTTTCTTTGATTTAGACACTGGGGAGATCTAGGGCTCTGTATTACAAGAACAATAATATAGTGTGGATGTGGATTTATTCACTATTATAAAAGAGTTGTTGTTGTTATGTTATGTACCATTGAGTTGGGGCTTGACTGATAGCTGACCCTCCGGTGGGTTTTCAGAGGCAATAAATCACATGGGAGGAGATTGCCTATCTTTCTCCCACTGGGCAGCTGGTGGATTTGAACTGTGAGCCTTTGGATTGATAGCACAGTTCCTTACCATTAAGCCACTAGCATTCCTTTAAAACACAGTAATGTAAAATAAAAAGGAGATATCTATTTTTTTTTGAGATATCTATTAACACTTGGAAAAAGAATTGTAAAACTTGCTTACTGTATAAATAGGGCTGAAGAAAATGGGTGGTCTCCTCCCATTATGATTTGTTGTTGTTGTTGTGTATCATAGAGTCAGAACTGACTTATAGCTGACCCTCTGGCAGGTTTTCAGAGGCAGTTAATCACACGGGAGGAGATTGACCATCCTTCTTCCATGGAACAGCTGGTGGCCTCAAACTGCGTGCCTTTTGAAATTGCAGCACAGCTTCTTGCCATTAGGCCACCAGGCTCCCTTGTCCATTATGATTTAGAGCCATGGAAACTCAACAGAGGAGCTCTGCGTCAAAACTGACCTGACAATAGTGAGTTTGAGTAGAGTACAGATAGGTAAAGGAGCTCTGGTGATGTATTGTGCTATGTTTTGAGCTGATAACCAAAAGTGGTTGGAATCGACTAGCTGCCTTTGGAAGATAGATGGGTAGTTGGTTTACTCCCATAAATATTTACAGCCTCAGAAACTGATGGAGGGTCACTGTAAGTTGGAAACAACTCTTTAGAAGTGGATTTGGTATAAATAGGTAGATAAGTAAGGATGATAGAAGAAGAATTGATGCCTTTGAGTTGTGGTGCTGGAGAAAAGTACTGAATGGACTGCCATGGGAACAAACAGGTCTGACCTGGAGAGGGTGAAACCAAGTTTCTCCTTGGAGGCTAGGATTTTGAAGCTCCATCTCACAGACTTTGAGCACATAGCCAGGAGGGACCAGTCCTTGGAGAAGGACAGCATTCATGCTCAAAAGGGTGGAGGGACAGCACAGGAGAGGAAGACCCCAGATGCGATGAATTGATACAGTAACTGGGGCAATGGGGGTTTGTGTGTCAGAATCAAGCTTCAGAGATATTGTACATAGGGTTGCTATGGGTCGCAGATGACTTGATGGCACATAACAACAACATCAAGTAGATGACTTAAGGAATTTGTGATACAAATAAAGAGTATAGACTAGAAAACACAAATATGTTCAAGAAGGGTCTAGATAATTTCAGAAGTGACAGAAACAATAAGAAGTCCTTTAAGAGAATACAGAGATATTGATACTAATTCAAGGAGGGTTAACTTAACAAAAAGTCACTCTAGAATAGAGGACTTACACACTGGTCCATCCTAACTCCATTCTAATGCTGAAGTATATTGATTTTTTGTTGTTGTTGTTGTTGCTGTGTACTGTAGAGTTAGAACTGACCCATAGCTGACCCTTCAGAGGGTTTTTAGAGGCAGTTAATTGCATGGGAGGAGACTGCCCATCCTTCCTCCGTGGAACAGATGATGGTCTCAAACCGTGTGCCTTCAGGATTGCAATGCAGCTTCTTTGCAACTAGGCCACCAGAGCTCCCTATATTGATTGTAGGGTTTTTTATTTTTGTTATGAACCCTTTAAATAGCAACAGTAATCTCTCTCGTGGTAGTTGCTACAAACTCTAAGCTAGGAAGCCCCTCATATAGGAACCCTCTCTCTGTCCATTGTTCCTCATTCAAACCCAAGCCCAGGGATGAAAAGATGATTGGCAATGCCAACTGTGACCAAGGCTGTTGGTTTCAGCTTAGCCATTGTTTACTCTGTGTTCTTATGTCTCAATTCACTATGCGAGGAGCATAAATGCTATGTAGCTGCTACATCAACCCACAGACTGCTAGAAGGAAGGGATAACAGTGGGGAAGAAAGTAAACAGACTGCTAGCCAGAATGCTATTGAAACTCAGAAACATAGAAATCAGGAAACAGAGCAGCGTGTAGATTCCAGCCATTGTTCTTTTGATTAGCAGTTCAACATGTAACGTACTACATCACTCAAGCTCCTTTACCTATTTAGACTCCACTAAAACTCACTGCTGTCAAGTCAGTTCTGACTTAAATTGATCCTCTATTGGGTTTCCATGGTTAGAAATCATAACGGGAAGAGAGTGCTCATCTTTAAAGAAAGGCTCCAGTTCTTTTGTTCATAGGATCGCTATGAGTAGTGCTTGACTTGACAGCAATCAACAACAACATTTATAAAGTAGGATTTAAAGCAAACCCAGAAAATCTAGCTACTGAGCCAAAGCTTACAAGATAAGAATGTAGCAGGGAATCCAGGGATTTGTAGAAGTCTCTTTTTAATAATGGCTACTGTTCATTAGGTATCTCTGGTGGCTTGGTGGTAAGGAATTGAGCTATCAACTCAAAAGCAGGTGGTTCTAATCCGCCAGATTCTCTGTGGGAGAATGCTGGGCAATCTCCTGTGTCATTTACAGCTTCTGAAAACCTGCTAGAGGGTCAGCTATGAGTTGGTCCTGACTCAGTGGCACCTAACAATAACAACAATAACTATTCATTGGGAGTCCTCTGGTGGCCTAGTCTGTAGAGAGTTTCACTGCTAACCCAAAGGCCATACCTCTCTCATGGTTCAAAGTCCATCAGTCTCTTCCCATGTGATCTGCAGCCTCAGAAACCCAGTGGAGGGTCAGTTATGAGTAGGTTCTGACTCTATGGCAAGTAGTTGTCTTGTTTTTTTGACTGTTCATTGAGCACTTGCTATGTACCAAGCACTGTCTTGAACACTTTACACATGGCAAGCATCTCATTTAGTCCTCTGATGGAAAGTGCCATTGTCTTTAACATTTTCAAGATTAAATGACTGAGTCAAGGAGGGTAAGTGATGTCCCTAACATCAGTAGTAAGTGGAGGAGAAAGGATTTATATCTAGATCTTTCTGACTCCAGAGCCCAGAAGTTTAATTCTTATACTATCCCTAAAGATTGATTTATGGGGTTCTTTGGAGAAGGTTTAAGTGTGAGTACAGCACAGATATTCCCCCCTCCAATTAATTTTAGGATATTTTCATTTTCTGGTGGCCTAGTAGGTAAGGAACTGCACTGTCAACCCAAAGGCAGGTGGTTCGAATCCACCAGCTACTTCATAGGAGAAAGGTGGGAAGTCTCCTGTGTGGTTTACAGACTCTGAAAACCTGCTGGAGGGTCAGCTATGGGTTGGCCGTACCTTGACAGTAATCTATAACAACAACAATTACAACCTCAAGAAGGGTCTTCCCCTCCCCCCTTCTTTCTTAAGCTATAAATACTAGATTGGTCACCACTGAAAAGGAGATTCCCTTCATTAATGCCTTCTAAATC